TTGTTCAGGTTCGTTTGTTTATTCAAACTTACAAGTGTGTGTGTGTGTGTGTGTGTGTGTGTGTGTCTGTCTGTCTGTCTGTTAATCTGGGTGTGTGTGTGTGTATCTGTGTTTGTGTGCGTAAGTCTGTGTGTGTGTATATTTTGTGAGTGAGTATGTGCGTCTGTCTTGATGTTTGGCAGCATAATTTTTCATGAGGCACCTGTCTTAAGAGGAAAGTCCAACGGGGGTACCCACCCACACCCACACACATACATACATACATACATACATACATACATACACACACACACACACACACACACACACACACACACACACACACTAGCACACAACATATATGGGCAAGTTGGCACGTTCTCTTTCTCGTTCTTTTCCGAACGGACAAAGACACGGATAAAGAGCGAGCTTAAACGTAGTGCTTCCTTGCACTAATATTTCTAGTTTGTTTTTTGGGGGGGTTTTTGTTGGTGTGTATTTTTAAGTTTTTATCACCGCCTCACGGCTGATGAAAAACTTCGCTTTGAGCCCAAAATTATTACCGCAAATGAATAATGTCCGTGTTCCGTAGAATGCCTGATGTACAATTGTAGAAACCCCTTTGTTCTTGGGACTCGGGACTGGAGTTCAGTGTTTTAAAACACCATTTACGTCAAAACCGGACAAATGAGGGTTAGTTCAAGATAGCTCTAAGCTCGAGAATTGATAGCTAACCTCATCCCCGTTCACGCACACACAAAAACACAGTAATTTAGAGGCAATTTTCTCACGCTTCAGTTGGAATTTCTTCGATCGCCCTGACCACAAGCGGCTCTTCTCCACATGCATTATTGATTTCAGCCAATCGATTGACGTTATTGATCTTTGACAACTCCAATTATCTTAACCTTAACCCCCTCTCAATAGATGTCTAAGTTAAGGACTGGCATTTCAGTACCTTACTTGAAGGAACAAGAGCCCTTTGTGGTAATTTGAAGAGGGCACGGCTTCGTGATTTCTGTCTATTATTCCCCCTGTGCTGACGTCAGAATTATATTGTGTTTCAGCTGAAGAGAAATAGCGTGACCATAGTCTTTAAATATTTACTTCTCTGATCGAGGGCTGTGTATACCGGAAGTGGCGTGGCTGGAACTATTTGGCAATAATGATGATGCAAGCAATAACTTGAACTTCTCCCACCCCCAACCCCCC